GGGCACGCAATGGATCTGTTCCTCAAAATATCTGTTCTTCAGGCACATTTTTGCTGGCTGGGAGATGTGGAAGAAATAATAGTCCTTGGAAGGAAAGTGTTGCTGGGAAAAAGATAATTCAGGGTGTGAGAGGGGATTTGAAGTCTAGAATAGCTGCTACGGGTTACGTGTATGGGTTACTTACCACTCAAGATCTGAATTGTGCCCTATGAAACTCCCCAGTAAGTCGGGTTGGAGGTTGTAAGTTTGCTGGCTGGGAATTCTTCCATCAGTCTTGCTGGGAGTGAGGAACAGATAATTATTTTCCAGCAATCTCCCAAAATGCGTAAAATAGTCTCAGAAAAATTTATTCAACCTTTGTTGTTGTTTTTAGGTCTTTTTCTCAAAATTTCCCGTTGGGTGCCCCCGTTTAGTGCAAGGTCTCAAGTCTTAAAGGCTTTATGTAAATGGTCAAGTTACGTGCAACCTGGGAAATCAAACAGCTGATGAAAACAAAGTACAAATCAGGTAGGGGCTGATTTCCGGCATCATGGAGAGTTTTCCGATTTATACATTGAAAGTGTACTTAGCACTTTTTGCTGTCAGAATTGTAATTTCCTTTTAAATAATATTACTTTCGTTTTCGTGAAAGTAATTTTTCCACTGCCTTCTCTTGCTTTTCCCGAATCGAAAAGATTCCTGTCTCTTGGTACAAGCAATCTGAGCAATCTCGTTTACTGTTACTGGGAAACGAAATATAAGCTGTAGAGTCATTTTTGTTTCTCATATATTAGTAGGAAAAGGAAATTTTTATGCTGAATAGTACTCAACAATTTTCCTCTTTCTCGATCTCTGTTAAAATTAAATATTTATTAATAGTTTCCATGCAGTTGTATGAGTTGTAATAAGGTTGATGTGACAGACGGACTGGCTGCGGCATGCCTTACTCTTTTTTTTTTCATCGTACTCAATATACTAGCCAGTTGAAACAATTGTCCACTGTCAACAACCTGCATGAATGTCTGTAACAGCCTAGCCCTAAGGTAATAAATAATTAAATTCAAAGTAAGATTGACAGTTGATTAATTTTAAAACGTGTTTTCAACAAGGTTTCATATTTAATGCGTGTCTCTCTGAAGTTTATTTATTTTTATAAATGGATTTAATAACGTGCTTTAAATTCTGTTCACTTAGTAAGTTGCTTGCTTTTGATACGAAACGGTTCCACTCTAACTAAAGAAACTGTAAGCATTCCGAGTACATCGACTTGACTCTTTGTAAAAGTTAACTTATCCAGCAACTGGTTAGACATCATTTAAATGAGATGTTATTTCATTTTGTGCTGAATTCAAGGTAAGTAAGCCTTTGTTTCTGACAAAACACAGTGATCCTGCATTTTTGGAAAGTGAAAACGCTACATGCTAAATAAATACTATTGTAACAAAAACAAAAACGGGCTAGCGGAAAATGACAGATCCTATGTTTTTTGCCACAAAAAGCTAGGCTCAGGTTAAGTACGTAGAAACCTGAAAAGAATCAAGGTATGACCCATTAGTCTGGGTTGGATGGGCGTCGATTTGCACTGTGGAAATCTTTATGAGCAGAAGGAAACAACCACCTTGCTGCCATCAGCAGCCAGTCCTTTTCTTGGGTGTTCTATTTTGGAGCCTTAAGAACATGAATCGGGTATTATATTTGTCGAGCATGCGCTACATGTTGTTATGCGCATTCGCTTGGTACAACGGTCTCAGTTATGACTATCGGTTTATCGGCAATAAACGGGTTCTTGTACTAAAAAAAAAAAACAGTTTGACGAGAGGAAACCGGATTGACTAGTCTAGAGGTTCGGCTCTAAAAGACTTCATAAGCTTGAAGCGATTTAGGCACACAGTGGGTATCCTTTTCTCCCCTCCGTCTAAGAAAAAGACAAAGCCGGACGCCTCTGCTCACAAGTTGCTTCACCAATCAAGGCCCAACCTCGACCCCAGGGTCTTCTTGTTTTTGAATTTTGCGGTGGCAGGAAAGAGGTCTCTAGGACACAGCAGATCACCTGTTAATATCTTTTTTCTAAAGTTGAGCATTTATTCACTGAATGAGAGACATGTTTCTTTGATCTCTGTAGCCAGTGGCTGGCAATATTTCTTGCTTTCTGTCCTCACGAAGGAACGACAATTTTAAAACGGAAATGTGGTGTTGAAGAGGCCGTAAAAAAGCGGCCGGACAAAGCATCAGCTCCTTATGTTCCTCAGTTTGAGAGGTTGTTGATGAAAAATGCTATTAAGAGGCACGATTTAAACGCATACAGTGACTTGGGAAACAGCAACATCCAGTGTAAAGAGCAATATCTTGTGCCTATTGCATGGCACAAGATCCAGAACTCACAGGGAAGGGGTAACGTGTCAGACGTCCAGTTGGAGACTCAGATACGTGTTCTAAACGGTAAGAATTAACATAATGATCACGACATTGCGTTATTTTTTTCTCGTTGATAAGTTGTTGAATCATTCAAACATTACTGAGCAAATATTTTTCTATCGTTAGAGGCCTTCTCAAATACACCATTTCGTTTTAAGACGGTGAGTTGTTCAAATTTGTTGCTAAATTTGATGTGTTTTTTCAATTTAACACAGTCCTTTAAAACTTAATACAGATAAATGACATTCCAACTGCTGTTTTTATGAGATATTTCAAACTAAAGAGAGCAAGCGAGCAAACGTACACCAACCCACGGTCTGGCCAGTAACTAACGCATGCGCAGTCATGTCAACTAGTTAGTGGCAGCCATGATATGACTGTGCGCATGCATGAAGTTTTGCGCAGGCCGTTCATGGGTTGGTGTACGTGTGTCAAATGTTCTCTTGTAAAGTTTGTCTGACTTATAGGATATTTCGCCTTTTTCCTGACGTAACTGTATAGGCTATCAAACTGTTGCCTTGACAATTTGACTGACCACACTGACGATTTAAGTCTGGCTAATCATGAATTAATTTTTTCTTGGCATTATTTATAGCATTCAGTGGACAGGACAACCAACGATGTCTGGTTTCACAACTGTATAATCAAAAAGTTTAAAATGAGACCAGCTCTCGCCATTTCTCCTGCAAGAACCCTCAACGTTTACACCTGCCAGTTTGATGATCCTCTTGAGTTAGGCGACTTTACGTTTCCTTGGCGTGATCACGAGTCAGATGTTATCCATGGCGTGGCAATTCATCCCGAAACTCTACCTAATGGACGAATGGCGACTTATAACCTCGGGCATATCTTAGTGCATCAAGTAATTCAATTCCCAACTACATAAACTGCAGGGAGAATGGGTACAAACATGTAGCGCAACGGTTTTTGGATCGTTTAGTGGACAAGCGTAATGTATGATTGGTCAATGTTTAGCCTCCCACGTAAACATCCTTAAGAACGCTTGAGGGAGTCCCAATAACGTCTGTGTAGGAGAAATAGGTAGATGGTATGCAAAAAAAGGAAGCTATTTACCTATCATTTTTTACATTGTCGACCCGTACGAACGCAGTAATCATGAAGCCGAAACCAATTGTGGAATTGCACGCATTTTAGGCATCCTACTGATGAACAGTTGGGGGACACGTAGATATGTTTTTTAGCAACTACTATTATTTGCAGTCTGTCTACTTTGAATTGAGCCAAGACGTTGTATCCATTCTCCCTGTAAGTTATCGAGTGGCTAATTCGGCAGTTACTTCGATCACTGGATAAATTTTATGATAGACTGTACTGAGACTAGAGAGATAGGAAGGGTTGCAAGCCTTAATTCAGAAAAAGTTCGTCTGAAATATTCACTTTTCATTTGTCTTTTTAAATCTATGTTTATCTTTTCCAGCCCTGCACTCACATCCTTAATCGTTTATCTCGTTTTTTTCCTCCATCATGCCTTCATCTTTTGCATTGTTTAGGTATACAAACAAACAATAAATCAATCAGTCAAAGACTTATTTGACTTCAAAAAGGACAATTTCACGATGACTTCATATTACTACAACCACCAGTGTCGTCATCATAAAAATGGACTATTTGTTGATAGCAAAATTGCTAATATCCACGGAGAAAATAGATCTATCAAAATTATTAAAAACACATCAATACATATAAATAGCGTAAAAAATACATTAAATTCAAATAAGATAAAAATGTTTGCTGTGAATGAAATAATTAAAACATGCATGTATGAACATATAATTTTGAAAATTAACATTGCTCACAAAAGGCGGCATTGACAAGTTTTGATTGGTCGAGATTAATATCCTGGGGCAGTCACAGTTTATATTTTCTACCCAAACGATCCGAACGCGTCATAAGTAGGCATTTAAGAGTTTTACACCAAATTCATAAAAAGTTTTCAACTCAACTATTTTACTATTTACAATGATATTAAGCTTAAATTTGACTTTGTGTGTTTTAAAATGTTTATTACCTTGCCAGACTGGTCATTTCTTTGGGCTCTACGACGTCTGTGAGGTATGTGTATAAGAAGCCTCCTGGTGAGAGCTGAGAACAAACCCAGAAATAAATAGAACAACTGAATCCCTAGACCTCATCCCTCCAAACTCAACTCCCCCATTTCCTCTAAAGCCAAACGAAGACTACTACTGTTGGTAAATTCTCACAGCTCAGGTGCTCATGATAGGGGCATTTTATCTAGTCTTCTCCAAAAATTTTCAAAAGGATGAATGTTTGCGAACAGGGCGCTAACTAATATCTGGCTAGATTTCCAAACTTGTTAAAAAGAACCTCTTCCTCGCAAAGGTTTTAAAATTGCAAGGACTTGGGGTACTTTATTTCTCCCACTAGGTTAGGGTTCGTTTAGCCCTTACTGGTTAATTGGCATAAATGGCAGTAGTTTTTTTGCCGACTACATTATATTTCATTTCTTTTATGCAGGGTGGGTGTGATGGCGAGGATGACGAAGTTGCAGACACTCCGCGCTGCAGAGATTATACACACGTTTGCACTGACGAAAAATTGGATACTTGTAAGGCCCAGAGTGGCCTGGACCCAATTAACAATTACATGAGCGGTGAGTATTTGTAATCTCAAATCTTTAGGGTAGCACCGAAATAGAAAATGCTCAGTGACAGGAACTCCAGAATGCTTAGCACGTGCTGAGTAACTATTAAAACCAAAAATTAGTGAAAACGCTTCCGTAAGGTACCACCTAATCCATGAGTAACAATAACATAGCTATTACCCTAAATAACTGGTAGATAAGTAGCGAATAAATTATAATAATTTAACACTACTGAGCTGTCGTGATCAACTCGTAAGTATTATAGCCAAAAACTTCAGTCACAAGTGACTTTCTTTCTATTCCAATTCGTTTTTTTAATTCGTTTGTTTATCATCTTTTTTTTTTCACAGACATGGAAGATAATTGCACAAGGGAGTTCAGTCCTGGGCAGATCGACAAAATGCTGCGCGACGTCAAGCGGTATAAGCCAACATTAATGGAAAATATCTACAGTAAGTGAATGGTAAACAAATATGAGGACTGCATGCACAATGGAGTGGGTAAGAGCATAAATCCCCTCTCGGCCTCACCCCTTACCATTGTCACACACAAGGTTGAACTCCAATAATATTTCAAATTATGGTTTGGTCAAAAAAGGAGCTAATACTTCGTTTATTATTATTATTATTATTATTATTATTATTATCATTATCATTATTATTAATACTTTCACATTCATGAATTAACATATCAGGATCGGTGAAAATCAGGGAAATGGCGCGCCGATGGAAAAATCATGCTCTCAAGAAAAAGCGACATTGAAACAACCCACTGTCAAAGATGGAATAATTAACACCTTGTTCACATAACTGCATATCTTCCCTATTTGTGTGTTCACTTACATAACTTATTTACTTTAAGTCAGTCTGTGGGTAAAAAAGAAGGCGCAAAAGAATGTTCATACCAAAAAGGTCATACTTACATGCAAGAAAACGTGCCCATGACAAGTGATTTTAATAAAACTGAAAAAGCATCCATATGCAACACGAGTACATCAAAGCGGAGCAATGCGTGGCTTAGCAGGGTTCTCAAAATGCGCGCGCCGACAACCGGCGCTATCACCGGCTGCTTTAAGGTTTTTGCCGTCTGCAAATTGTAGAAAAGAAGCAAAAAAATGGACGATTAATAAAAAGTTGTAAAAAAGAAAAAAAAAGAAATTGTTTTAACATTGATATGCATCTTCTTTTTGTTGAAGCAACTTCCCTCCCTAAGAAACACATATCCCTACTGATATTTGTTCCCCTACCTGAGAAACACATATCCCTAGTAATTTGTGTTCCCCTACCTGGAAAACACATATCCCTAGTAATATGTGTTCCCCTACCTGGGAAACACATATCCCTAGTGATATGTGTTACCTACCTAAGAAACACATATCCCTAGTGATATGTGTTCCCCACCTGGGAAACACGTATCCCTAGTGACATGTCTTCCCCTACCTGTTGATACACATATCCCTAGTGATGTGTGTTCCCCTACCTGGGAAACACATATCCCTAGTCCCTAGTGATAAGTGTTCCCTTAATTGGGAAGGGAAACACATATCCTTAGTGATATGTGTTCCACTACCTGCGAAACACGTATCCCTAGTGATATGTGTTCCCCCACCTGGGAAACACGTATCCCTAGTGATATGTCTTCCCTACCTGGGAAACACATATCCCTAGTGATATGTGTTCCCCCACTTGGGAAACACATATCCTTAGCGATATGTGTTCCCCCACCTGGAAAACACGTATCCCTAGTGATATATGTTCTCCTACCTGGGAAACACGTTTCCCTAGTGATATGTGTTCCCCTACCTGGGACACACATATCCCTAGTCGTTAACGATATGTGTTCCCCTACCTTGGAAACACATATCCCTAGTGATATGTTTTCCCCCACTTAGGAAACACATATCCCTAGCGATATATGTTCCCCTACCTGGGAAACACATATCCCTAGTGATATGTGTTGCCCCACCTGGGAAACATGTATCCCTAGTGATATGTGTTCCCCTACCTGGGAAACACATATCCTTAGTGATATGTGTTCCCCTACCTGGGAAACACATATCCCTAGTGATATGTTTTCCCCCACTTGGGAAACACATATCCCTAGCGATATATGTTCCCCTACCTGAGAAACACATATCCCTAGTGATATGTGTTGCCCCACCTGGGAAACATGTATCCCTAGTGATATGTGTTCCCCTACCTGGGAAACACATATACTTAGTGATATGTGTTCCCCAACCTGGCATACACATATCGCTAGTGATATGTATTACCCTTCCCGAGAAACACATCCTTAGTGATATGTGTTTTCCAACCTGGGAAGCACATATTCATTGTCATATGCGTTCCCCTACCTGCACAACACATATCCATAGTGATTTTTTTCCCTATCCGGGAAACAAAGATATCCCTAGTGACATGAGATATCCTCCCTATAGAAATTTAAAACTGTAGGTGATAACATGCAACTTTTCCTTTACAAGTAAAGGATAATTGGCTTAATATGTCATCATTTTCATCTGCCGATTTATCATTTGAGTAAATGGATATTAAAACGTCCAAGAAACGTCCTTGGACATACAGTGGAAGGCTTTTTCTAATTTCGACGAAACATGAAAAGGGTAGATTTTGGTGCCTTTGTGGTTTAGATTTCACGTACTTGTCAATAAGCGTTTTTAATGTAAAAATGCTATCAACTGTGCCATGCATTTTTCTGAGGCCACCTCGTTCAGCTTCCAAAATTCCTTTTTTAACCATATATGTAGTCGTACAAACGATTGTTGAGGATTTATGTAAAGAGCTTGCCTAGCGCAGAGAGCAAAGTGATACCTCGGTAATTTTCGACTTTGGCTCGATCATTCTTCTTGTGAATAGGTACGATGGGACCAAAACTCCAAAGAGCAGGGTATTTGCCAGGATCTAAGATTCGATTAAATAAATTTACTAAATGCCCTTTAATGGCTTCCTTTCCGGTTCTCATTACTTCATTTAATATATTATCGATACCTGGAGATTTGTTTGCCTTCAGTTTGTTAATTGCAGCTTCGAACTCCTCATCAGTTATTGGATAATCAATTGGGCCTTCCACTCTTTCGTTACTGTGGGTTTCCATATTCGTCTCCGGATCTAGTATATTATTGAGAGGGATCACATTCTGTGCTTAAAGTATTTATAAAACTGTAAGTTCCGTACTCACTGCTTCAGCTCCATGTTATTTTCTTTTTTCCTAAGGCATGGGTCGCACTTGGCAAATTTTTGGGAGAATTTGTTTACCTTGCGGTAAAAATCTGTCATCGGTGGACGTTGCTAAGTGCGACCCCGAGTTTTCAAGTTAGAAAAAACTTTGAAAATCGGCAAAAACATCAAAGACGCCGTAGTGCTTGGGTGGGGAAGGCAGATTTTGGAAAACTCGAGCTAAACAATAGGAATCACAGCGGAAACTGTCAGCGCCTTGTCATGAACGTGATCCATTTGAAACACGATCAATTTAAAATAAACGCGGTCGAATTTTCAGACCTTCGCGAAGAGGTTTCTACTCGGCTATCCTTCGCCATTTCAAGTTTTTTTCGAAAACTCTCTACAGGCAAGGACTTCACTCGCTTATAAACCTTCGCTATTTTAAGGTTTTTACGGGAACTAGCTCTATTGAGGGCGAACCAGCTGATTTCCCGTCTACACAAGCAAACACTTCACGGGTTTGTTATTCTCCAAGCCAAGTGCACTATTCGCATCCAAGCACTTTCTGGTCTTCTTTATCTGTCCCATCCTCCTGAAACTGGAAATGGAGGTAAAAGATCCTTCGCAAAGGCTCGGACGAAGAAGAGAAAAATGTTTTCTGGTATCTGGCGTTCTTAAGTTCTCAATGTGTCAAAGCAAAAACTATTAACTCCCACTAATGCGACCCTCCTCGGTTGGACTAAAAGTTTTCTTTTCCGGTTGCGGTTTCGAATTTTTGTGGTTTTTTAGCCGGCAAAGATGAAAACTTTTCCCAAGTGCGACCCATGCCTAAAGATTTTTCCTATTTGTGACTAGGTCTCTTTGGAGTTTTGCATATCGATATTAGACATGCCTTTAATTTGCTCATAGACTCCCGTTTCTTCCGTCTACAAGTTTGTTTGAACCTCTTCTTTTTGCCTCGCAGTAGTTGTCTCAGTTCTGAATTATTAATGTTATGAGAAATTTTCTCCCCAGGGATTGGAAGTTTTCTTTTTCTGTTTTGCAGTTCTGATCCAACCATTTTATTTGTGATTTCCATTTAACTTTGCTGCCTCTCGCTTTACTCCATCCGGCTTCTTTGCATGTTTCCACCAAAGTTTCACTAAGTAGGTCAGACGCAGTATCGATGCTATCATGTTTGACAGCTGCTACTAACCTAGATTGAACTGTTTATATCAATAGTGATATGTCTTCCCCTACCGGCCCCGCCAGAAAACACATGCCGGCACTTTCTCTTATTCTCCTACTACTTAAAATTTTTTTGACAACCCTGCTTAGTGGTGAGAGCACTCGCCTCCCACCAACGTGGCCCGGGTTCAAATCCCGGCGTCGACGCCATATGTGGGTTGAGTTTGTTGTTGGTTCTCTCCTTAATTGCTCCGAGAGCAAAAACCAACACTTCCAAATTCCTTTTCGATCTGGAACGAACGCACACGTTAAAACGAGTTCATATGAACTCCTAAGTGCTACGTGGGTAAAAAAACAATTTAAAATTTTTTTACAAAGAAATGTATACAAACCAGCTAGCAAGAATTTTTTTTAATTTATGACTGCCAAATCTCTCTGTTTAACTCAGGTTTTTTTCGGCACAGGTTGTTTAATTGTTTTTTTAAAATAATTTTAGCCTCTTTAAGAAAACATAATCTTGTGTTTTCCGTAGGGCGGGTCATTTGTACACACTGGAGTTTTTGGTTTCATCTCACTGGAGTTTTTGGTTTGATCACCCTTGGCCAACGCTTGTAATAAATTATGCGTTGTTTATGTGAGCTAAAAAGCGTTGGTGAGGTCAGCGCGTACTAGTCATGCGGGCAATTTTTAGGATAGGTGAAAATGAAAGTCAGCCAGGCCTACAAATAATCCAAAGCTGGCTACGCCCCTCAGGCCACAGTGCAGCTTTGTACGAACATTCTGCATGGTCCCACCTTGAGGCATTTGCAAATTGTTGCTGTACAATATCGGTAATATGGGGAGGGGGTGAAAAATGGGCGCCCTTAAAATATACTCAATAAATGTCAGCGCTCTCGCGCATAAGCACACGCGCCAAAAAAAATCATTTCACAGGGAACCAGACAGCAGTTTGTAATAAGTTCAATGTTTGCATCTCAGTTTGTGATTATTTTCCCTTTTTTTTTCAACTTCATTTTAAAGGGCCTTGCAGAATTGACGCTGCCTTTCGTTGGTCAAATGGGTTTGTCTATCTTTTCCTGGGGTCTAGATACTACCGCTACAATGAAACACGTCATGGAATAGACCCAGGCTACCCACGTCCAATCAGTGATCACTGGAATGGAATCCCTTCTTCAATAGATGGAGTCTTTCGCTATGTAAATGGAATAACGTACTTTTTCAAGGGAAACCAGTATTACAGGTTTAACGACTCGTCTTTGAGTGTGGACCCAGGATATCCACGGCCGATAAGCAACTTCTGGCTGGGAGTGCCCGATGATATTGATGACGTCATTAAGTAAGACTTTCCTGGATCTAAAACAAATGGATGTTGTTTCGTCTTTTGTCGCCATACAAATGAATGCTATATTTCTACTGAAGTAGAGCACACGTCTTTAACACCTTTCTAACCTAGAGTTTAATCCCTCTCGCTTTTACTCCCTCTGCCTCAGTTAGAATTCTTTCCAAGACTGATACTGAAAGCTCGGGAACATAAAATATCCAACCGCAGTCCGACGTGACCTTCATTAAGACTTAACATAGTTATCCTGACATAACATGGCATCTCCACTATAACAAATATTGTAATGAGTAAAAGAAGAGTTTAACGGCAACATTGTACGTAACATTGTCGCCAATATTGGCCCAGCGGTGTCCGACCTGAGAGAGTTTCGGACTTAACCTCAAAAATTCTTATTGTATTTTTAGCTCACTGCAGGAATGACGAAAACCTGCCACAATCCAACGACACAGAGAAAAATTTTTTTGTTCATTAATTTTCTTTATGCTCTATGATACAAGGTGTATGAGCCATATTTCCTTCTCATGAACATGAAACACTTCTTTATCCTTCACTAAACTTAAATATGTTTTGTTTTTAACGTAGCAACCAGGCCCCACTTGTTTTATAATGTGCTTTTCACTAATACGCTGTTTCTCTCGCCCTTCTGTTTTTGTCCAGCTACTTAAATGGGTACACATACTTCTTCAAAGGAACACAATACTACAGGTTTAATCCAAACTGCCAAAGAGTGGACCCTGGGTATCCACGTCAACTGAGCTCTTACTGGAACGGGTTCCCTAACGACATAGAAAGTGCCTTAACCTGGTACAATGGAGGCGTGTACGTGTTCAAGGATACCCAGACTTGGTTCTTTTTACATAGTTCTGACTCTATAGGTATCCTGTCCAGTTACCCGGAGTCTGTAACTAAGTGGTGGAACGATGACCCCAACATTTCTGGTTACGCTGCGTTTAGGTACGTGTGTTTGAGAGTTGCGGTTACGAATTAGTAGCGCTAGCTACTAAATTAAATTAGATGGGCTGTCCCGACACTATTCCTTTTGATTAGTGCATTAGAGTTATCGCCCCATTTGAGGGAATACGGAAAATGTTTACATGTGGAATCCACAATCCGGGAATGATCGATCTTGCTTGTGGAATCATATATCCGGAATACAGCTCAAGGAATCTGGAATCCCACTAACAATCAGAATCCAGAATCCAAGTTCCACTGACAAACACTGGAATACTGTTGCTGGAATTCAGAATCCAAGACTGTCTAAGATACCCTTACATGGCGTGAGACTTACAAAGGGATGGAAGATACCTTTCCTTTTTTCCCTCCATTTATTATAAATCTTATGTCGATTTGGTTTGTTATTCTCCCTAGACACGTAAATGGCTCCATGTTTTTCTTCAAAGGAGACAAATACTGGTCATACAACGAACAGATCAACCAAGTTAATCCTGGATATCCTCGCACTCTGGCAGCCTGGGGAGGAGTGCCAGCAGATGTGGACGCAGCGTTTGTTTGGACTGATGGTTACGCTTACTTCTTTAAAGATGAGATATATTTCCGGTACAATAATGCGACGCAGCGTGTACAAGATGGATATCCACGCAATATAAGTTCGTTTTGGAAAGGAGTTCCTAATAACGTGAGCGCAGTTTTCAGGTACAGTTGACCTTTGCGTGAAATCAGAGGCAGATACTTTTTTTCTCTTTTCACTGCTTTTGTTTTACTTGCAAAAAGGTATCTGCTTTTTTAGACTGTTCAATTTGAAATAGCAGATTGTGAATACAGGAAAAACCCGCGTATAAGAACCTGTTAGGCTAAAATTTGCCGTTTCGGCCCCCTCTATACAAGAACCTGCATATTTAGCCTAAAATTTGGAACAGGTTCTTTTTTTCTAAAATCTGTAATAAAAATGTGAACACTTGTAAGTCAACGTTCAAGATGCTCTTTGGAGACATAGTGCCTTATCCGGCTACCAACTTCGTACTTCAGAAAATATGAAACTACCTAAGAACCTAAATATCCTAAATTTTTTGCTGATTGTCTTTTATGAAAGAACCTGTTTAGGCTGAGGTTCTTACTCGCGGTCTTTTACTGTAATTGTTTTGGCTAAATGACGAATCTTTTTTTACCAAGCTTTATCGGTAAAGATGACTGAATATTCGACTTCTCCTCCGTCTTGTCCAAAATCCAGCCATAATGACCTCAAGCTTGGTCCGCAATAAAGCACGTGTCTCTATTGTGTTGGCAGGTACACTGATGACATCACATATTTCTTCAAAGACTCTTTTTACTACCGCTTCAATGATTCCCTCCAAGCGGTAGACCCAGGCTACTCCCAGCCAATAGCCTCGTTTTGGAAAGGCATACCAGATAACCTCGATACGGTGTTCACGTCGGGCAGTGGTCTCGTGTTTTTCTTTAAACAAAACCTCTTTTACCGTTTCAACCAGACAGCAAGACAGGTCGAAGTGGGATACCCAAAATCCATAGCATTATGGAAGGGAATACTTTATCAGCCATAGAAATATAAGTACAATGCTGTAAACATAATAAAGATTCACAAACCGTCTGATATTTTCTGTATTTTTGCTTCACATTCCCCGTGAGATCCTTTAAAATTCTTAGCATTCAACGCAGACCATTCGTGTCAACAATGTCCAGTTTGAACAGAGATTAGAATGTCAAAGGTATTTTAGTTTACCGAGACACTAGTGTGACAAACGTGACAATAATAAAGCTTGTAAAAAAATAATAATACCGTCAAACTTCACCTCTCTTAGTTAAACAGAACTTTTTGTGAAAGACCAGAACACATGTAATGCTCGGTCAAGGTCACGACAAAACACGCAAGAAATAGCCCCGTCACGTTTGTCACACACAAACGTCTTCTTGTAAACTCATTACTATCAGAGTCCCCTTCCCTTCCAGTCTCGTCCCAGTCCCTACAAAAATCAACCAATGCCAAAGGAAATTAGGCTGGGACCTGGCTACACGTTGGAAAAAAAAAATCGGCGAGTGTCTAAAACTCGGCTCGCTTTGCTCCCCGATTCTTCTTTTCCTTTTTCCACCACCGCGGAGCCTGCTCCAAGGCCACCAGGAAATTTACGCTGGTAACTAGGAGTTTGTCCACAACTGAGTCAGCGCTGGTACGAGTTGAACTGACAGAAATACAGTCGGCTCCCCATAAAGCGGACAACTCCCTAAAACGGACAGTTGCCGGTGCTATCGGAGACATTCAAGTTCTTGGAGAGCATTGTAATCATTGTCAAGCAATAAGAATCAGCTAACAAAGCGGTTAAACAGCTAGTAAATTTATTACGAAAAAGGTCTATTCATAAGATAGAAAAAAGAGTGAATGCTACTACTAATGTGAAATGCTGTCACACTTGAAAACGAAGCTGTTTTAACACTTATTTCAAATCCACTTCATGTTCCGACAGTTAGAAGTTGCCTGGTTCCTTTTGTGTGTTGACTGGTAAAAGAAAATACATAAATACGCACACTAAGGGACTTGTCAGAAATTAGCAGGGGGGGAGGGGGGTGGGAATTTTAAATTTAATTAAATTTAATTAAATTTAATTAAGCGTACACTATAACACCACTCAAAACTAACCACGACTTAAACTTTTGAGTGAGTAAGCTGAGGTCGCGTGTTCTCTTACTTTACGATACCTGCCTGAATAAGTCCTAAGAAGAACCGAGAGAAATACCGACTATCAAATAAATGTGATGTTAAGATTTATGCGAAAGAGGGAAATGGGCACTTAAACATTTTCTTTGAAAGAATCTTCGTAAACTCAGGAAGAGGGCTGCTTTCTTGATGTCTTTCACTATTTAACTCTCGCCGCCTGATGAAACGGTGGAGTTACTTCATGTACTTGTCCTCGTGTTCGGCTAAAAGTTTTGCTGATGATTTAGCATCGTAAAACAACTCGTTGATTTCCTCGACATCCTGTCTGTTTATATTCTCGCGGCCTAAAAATGACACAAAAAAGGTTAATAAAGAAACCATAGATGAATAAAAAAAATAAAAGGAGGGTGTAAAGGAAACTAAACTAACTATTTAATAATTATCTTAATATACTCACCGTTAATACGAGCGAGAAGATTAGCGGGTGTGAGCAACTGAACAGCATATCTAACAGATATGACAAAAACAAAATTGCGGACACCGTCAACTACTATTACAAACGTAATTTACCAAGTAACTCTCGTCTATAGACTGGACTAAAATTCAGATAACTATCAATCGGCGAAAAACAAGCGCCCGAGGGGCAAACGATTTAGCACCTTTTTTGAATACCGTTAATTGTCGCTTATAAGCCCTGGGGTTATATATCTTCGTAAGGGCTTTTAGGAGGGTTTATAAACGGAGAGGCTTATATCCGTGGGGGCTTATAAACGGAGGGGCTTATATCCGCGGGGGTTTATAAACGGGGGCGCTATATCCGTGGAGGTTTATAAACGGAGGGGCTTATATCCATGGGGGTTGATAAACGAAGGGGCCTATATCCGTGGGGTTTATAAACGGAGGGGCTTAAATCCGAGGGGGCTTATAAACGGTTGTGTTTTCTGACTGGGGGAAGTACAGTAAACTGCCGCGTATAAGCCCTGGGGGATTATACATCAACGTAAGAGGTTTTAAGAGGGCTTATCGTGTAAACGGACGGGCTTTTATCTGAGGAGTCTTATAACCGTACAATGTAATAGAAAAAGCGCTTCGAAAGAAGCTTTAGCGCTAGCAGTGCTCTTCGATTAAAATGTGTTTTGCATTTACTGGTTTTTAATTTAGCTTCAATAAGTCATAATATAATAGAATTCATTTCAATACAAAACAGGGGAGATTTATCAGGTAGATGGACCTTCATGTATATAACTGTTGCTTGTAAGCCGCAGTCTATGGTATATATTTTCCTTTCCCTACCTAAGAGTCGTTTTTGTGCCTATTTCTCCTAAAAGATTCAGCGACTCCTCGTCCGATTGGATGTTTTCTGTCTGTGCCCGGATGCGAATAATCTGCACCATTTCATCTTGTGAGTAGGGTAAGGTGCGGATAATCATAAGCCGGTCTAACAGATCTAGGGGGATCCCGTGGGGAGCAGTTATTTCCGTGCCTCTGTTGAAGCAAACACACACAAAAAACGTTTGTTTTTACGTGACCTCAATAGGAAAGGCGTCAAAAAAGAATATTGTAACATATATTGATTGATACACATGTAGCTAACGTAACAAAAATGCAGCAGAAAATAAAATCTAAATTATCAGAACAACCGTGTAAATCATGAAGCAGATCCAATTTCACAATATGTAGTAGACTTTCAAAAAAGTCGTTCGTCGGATTTCATATGTCGGCCGCTTTGCGGCCAAAAAAGGCTCGCAAGAGGTCAACTTGTAGCAATTTAAGTCTAACTACGGTATGTAGGTACAGTTAAGTGCATCTATTAACGATGAACCGTCTTAAATAATAGATGTTAGGGAAAGGTTTATATTTTAGCAGCTGTAACGCATCTTGGCAGCTGTTTTCATTGTAGAGAGAGAGAAAGGGAAATTAATTTGTATCTTACATGTGTATACTAACCGCCAGGATAGTACAAACAAGAAAGTGGCCGTCGTTGTAAAGAGGAACCTGGCAGAAAAGGCTCATTGAACACCCTCTTTGGAATGTTTCACATAGTTTCTCAAATGATCTTAGTTGTTTTATCCTTAACACCTAACACTTAAAACCTTAGTTTATAGTATTTAGGAACATAGGACGGACTGAAACCATTGTCACAGTCATGAGTTTCTTTGTTACATACATACATACTTAATGTTACCTCCCCAAAGGGGTTTTTCAGGAACAATGATTATAGTACATTAGTTATAATAAATAATTACAACACTTAACCTTATACTAATTACAATGTTAGCTAATTACAAATTACAATGCTTTTAAACTTAACTAAGAAGTATTTACAAAATTATCTTTTGTTCACCCTTCATGACTTCAAGAAACGTTGTGTTAGTAACACATGCACTGCAAGTTACCTTACCTTATAGTACAATTCCCTCGGTTGGTAGCAAATATAACAATAGGGGATATAGTAGACTCCAGAGCTCGGTGTAAATAGGTAAAACATTCAATGTCCAGCATATGTACCTAAAAAGAGTTATTATTATATGAAACATCCATTTCCACGGGAATTAGCTTATCACTCGAAAGGGCAACCAACGAGAAGCGGTGCCAAATTAAGCCTTACTCACAAACAGGCGTTTAACATAAAGGTCGAAAATTTTCATAAGAACCGTAAAACGGCATGAGCATGTGAAGGATGCAGTTTCTGTGGTCTAGAAATACACTTTACATTTTTTACAGCAAAGACTGAGTAGCTGAGATTTACGATCGAAAATGTAGGAAACGAATTTACAAGCTAAAGGGTCGGTAAATCGAAAACAGAGGAAAACGAAATCATTAACCTGTAACTTAAGAAATTGATGCAAAAGTCTCATGTGCTACGATTAAAAACTGTCCGTTAATACATGTACCTTGATGTAGTTCCTTACCTCGTCAACAAACAACACACCAGGAACAAGCTCAGCTACTCCCTGATCAATATATTTATTAACCACCTAAAGAATTATATTTAAAAAAATACAATACATAGCACATTTAAAAGGAAGCTTATATACCAGTTATTGTTAAGGTAAGAAAAGGGCAAATCGAGGAATATAATTCCTACAACAGTCATGCAACAGTCAATTTTTCCAAATCAATCAGGAAGGGTGGGTTCCATTATTTAAACCTGATATCACCAAGTAAGAGGTGCATCAGAGTTCAGCCTGATGAAATAACGAGCTCAATAACTAAGCCAAGCCAAGGTTTAAGTATACCTACATGTATATAAAATAATTACATGTAGATGTAAAAACATATTTCTTATTGAAACAACGGATTATTATTTCTTTTTCGCTCTATCTTTCTTTTTCTTTTCTTTTTTTTTTATTACCTTATTGATTTCTTTCCTCAGTTTATCTGGAAAAGAAGAACAATAATATTATAGGTGAATAATTCCTTACATGCAAGAAGAATATGATGCAAGGCAAAGCTAGATGGGTTTTTATGGGGACATCAGAGTATTCAACAATGCTTCTTCTTCAATTGTATGTCACCTCCAATTTGCACTAACAAGCTGATTTTTTGTCAAAGAGCGATACATGTGTTTTGGACCAACGATTTTAACAAATCCAACAATTTCACAAATTTGATTTTAATCCTTATCATGATGTTACACTTCTATAGTCTATACTCCATTATACAGACTGAAGCAACACATACAGCTAACTGACCCACTGTGTAAACTCAAGAGAACCAACATGAAGCTTTTATGGTCACCTCACTGCTAGCATGCACATCTGTACATGTAGCTTTTACCTGTAATTTCTGTCTTTTTTGGCTTCATGAGCTGTCCCATCATGGACAGAATGTCTTGACCTCCCTGAGATATTAAGTACAATAATATTTTTAAAACAGCAATCGGTTTGCTAATCTACATAAAGGACATATCAGTAATAAACTCCGTAAAGTTCAA